ATTAGATTTGTGCCATAGATGTTTTTTTAAAGTCTTACATGTTTAATGTTTTTTAGCATATCGGAAATAAGGGGAAAAGTTTAATTCTCCATGAGCATCAAGTCAATAGGAGTCTCAACGTTTTCACATGGACTGGCTTTCCAGGTAAGCAACAGATTAACCATACAGCGTATCATTTTTGGAGGCATCAGAAAACAGTGCCTCTAAAATCTCAACAGATTTCACCACAATGCTGACTGCGTGCCAGGTGCCAGGCAACACGTGACAGAAAAATATGCAAAAACGTACCTCTAGAGACTGTAAGAGCAGAAAGTGCAATGGAGTAGTTAGCACGCAGTGGCTGCAGGCCTTTATAGTTTTCGTTAACGTGAGCGTCTCGGTTGAGTTGCCGGTTGACTTTTAGGTCAACCAATCTAACTTCCTGGGAGACGGCTGCAGAGGATGATCGGGGGCGTTAGATATTGTTGTCTGGAAAAGGGACGTACGTCTTCTGATCATAACAATTGGTTGCGCAACCCATCACCAAAGGGCTGATCAGATGAAGGACCCGTTCAAACCCCAATGCCTTGTGGGTAGCTCGTTAGCCCATAAGTCAGGTACACACGCTAGCACCACCAACTCTTTTGTTGCTGTTTCCTTTCTCTGACGATGGACACTTTTTTGAGTTCAAAATCTCAGAACAATAAACAAATCAATCCGGTGTTCGATCTCAGAAATTGCCCGTCTTCTTCTTCCTCTTCCGGGTATGATGAAAGAGAAATCATAACTGGATCTCGAATATTTTCGCATATTAATAGCGAATAGCAGCATAGGTCATGTGACCTTACCAATAAAAACATGGGGATGGCCACCTGATGACTGCTGGCTGAATGCTTAAATACGCTGGCGTGAAGTAGGGGCAGCGAAGTTAGTGTACAGGTTGTCGATGGGAAATGAAACCTTCAACTTATCTTAGGCGTCCAAGCGGCCTGCTTCGCATATACACGATATTTAATTAGGCTTTCTTGATTTCAAACGTGAGTATATAATGATGCTTAATAAGATTAATGACCCTTAAAAGGTCCCTTCTGTTACGGAAGTGGTCATCACAGACGTACGTGTTGCTTTACTCGAGGTTTGAGCGCCGTGTCAGTAGGTTTCCGCGTGGTTAAATCAGACGTCTAGTGACCTGCGTAAGCTAGCACCCCTGCCAGCTGTCAGCTGAGACAGCGTTATGCCAAATCATGTAGAACTGATGTTCACCGATCTGGAGCCAAAAAATGTGATGTGCATTAGCAGAAAGCAGACGTTGAAAAAAATTCAGACAAAGCAATAAACGCATGATGAAATCTGATTTGAAACTGGATAATGGGACCCTGGCAATACATTTAAGAGGAGTAGAGCTAATGCTGAGCTTAGTGGACAAGGCAGTCGATAAGAATTCAGTTTAAAGCAAAGTTTCCCAAGTGCAAATTTGTAAATTGCAAGAGTAACAGAATTTATTGGATCCATAAATTTCAGGAGCACTCATCAGCTGCTAGCTCTCGTTGCATAACGCGAATAATGTAAAAATCTGGGAACCGGATCTTACAAGGGCAAACCTAGGTTAACCACATGCTCCAACTGTTCACATAGGTCTGGTATTGATTGTCGTATATAGACTGCCTGCAGGTAGCGTAAGGTACGAGTTGTTGCTGCTCAAACAAGTACTCGGAAGGAAGTTTTAGGGTTCACACAGATTTTTCTGTGTGGATTCAATTTTTATATTTTTTCTTACGTTATTTACGTTATACAATGTGAGGTAGCAGATGCTGAGAGCTCCTGATATTTATGGATCCAGTAAATTCTGTCGTTCCTGCAATCTACAAAAATGCAGTTAACTTTTAGAATTTATTGACGTATAACTTACTTACTTGTACCTGCTACAACTACGACCATGAATAATCTAGCCGGCCTTGATAATATCCTGGATGTCCACGCGTGAAAACCAGTGGCACTAAACCTCCACAATTCCATTCATTCTGTTTACCAATGCCTACGCGCTGGTATATGTGGAATTTTGAAGCTGACGCATAGGCCCACTAGCCAAGACATGTCTTGATGTCCGTTTTCTTATGTGGGCGTACCTGAGATCAGCTGCGCCAACGGTTTTCGTAGGAAAGTCAATTTCAATTATTCGGCGCAGTTAGTCAGCGTGTACATTTGTCTATTTTGCATTCCAAGGGCATAATGCAAAGCATTTGCCTACAGCTTTCCGAATCGTGTCACAAAAGTATTCTGACTCAAATAAAAATCCAAATTAAGGCTTCTATTAACAGCCCGTAGAGATAACTTTTCAAATGTTCCTTTGATGTACATATTATGCACATATCGGAAGCACTCGCTCTAGCCCAATACTGCACAACGAACTGTTGTTGCTTCTTCTACGTACCAGTACTTTTGTTATATAACTTATTAAAAAAAGTGTTTTGCGTTCAATATATAATGCTTGTAAATTGTAGTATATTTCAAAGCCGGACGCGTACGTAATTCAAAATCACCAATGCTTATAACCTCCGGGTAGGATGTTAATTAAGAAAGTGTGTAGAAATCTGTGTTTCTTCGTTCGTCCCACAATTGACTTAACGCAGATGGCTAGACTGGATATAAAGAAGTAAAAATATAATATAATGTGACTAAATACGTTTCACATTAGCCGATTCCTCTTCGCATTTACTGAGAAGTTTATTATGGTTACCGCCTACACAATACTTACGGGATTGGGAGTGTTCAGTCAAAATACAAGCACACCTTCGAAGATCCGTCGACGCAACCACAGACTTCCTCACAAGATTTGGATTACAACAGATGGTTTAAACCATTTTACTTCTTATGCCTCATGCTCTAAGTGGTAAGATTCTCTAGAACATGACTGCCTTGGCTCAGCTTTTATTTAAACTTTTCACTAGTCCTCCTATATGGACTTCAATAAGGGTTCAATGTGCTGCCATCTTAATGTCCGCTCTCAAATCTCGACCCGCCTATGACCGGAACAAAAATTCCACCCTTATTAAATCTCCCGTTTAATTTTCGCCTATATTTCCTAATTACACATGCGTAAAATCCCCCCTAATTATCTTCATCGCGTCTTATCATTTCGGATTCAATGTAGAAAATATAAACTTTCAAGCATTCATGAAGTAGCAGCTGTAACGTTATGTCCAAATTATACTCTACAAAACTTTTATTCACTTTATATTTGTACTGAATGCCTAACCAATGAAACATTATTTTTTGTGGGTAACACTTACTCTTACATTCGGTTCATAATTCAGTGTATGCATGCTTTTTATTATCGGAGACGCATAGAAACATATTGCACAATTTCCTATATGCATAATTTGTTTAAATATAATTGGTAGGTGTCTGGAGATGCCTTAGCAATCTGTTGAGCAAAGGGCAGGAGTTTCCTTGGTAGTGGTCTTGGATACAACAAGCCGTAGGTT